TGTGTAACTCTACCTTTCAAATAAATAAATAATCTTTAAAAATCCAAAAACATGGGCCCGGCATGGTGGCGCAGCGGTTAAGGTCCTCGCCTTGCACACCTGGGATCCCATATGGGCGCCGGTTCTAATCCCGGCAGCCCCGCTTCCCTTCCAGCTCCCTGCTTGTGGCCCGGGAAAGCAGTCGAGTATGGCCCAAGGCTTTGGGACCCTGCACCTGTGTGGGAGACCTGGAAGAGGCTCCTGGCTTCGGATCGGCATAGCATCGGCCGTTGCGCTCACTTGGGGAGTGAATCCAGCAGCTGTAAGATCTTTCTCTCTGTCTTTCCTCTCTGTGAGTTTGCCTATCCAATAAAAGTACATAAATCTTAAAAAAAAAAAAATCCAAGCAATTTTGTTTCATCCTTTCCAGGGACTCTGCCCAGTGGGGCCTTCTTACTTTCCATCTCCAGCCCCAGTACAGCATGAAGGGGAAGGAGCTCAGGAGCCACTGACATCTCCCCACCTCAGGTACCTGTCTGTTTCCCTCCACCCCTGTGTGCAGGTTGGCCCCTGCCAGGCTGGGAGAAAGTCACTTGGGTGTCTCTGGGCCACAGCCAATCATCTCAGAGCTGATTCATCACAGACATTCTGCAAACACTGGCCATGGGAGAAGCCATCTCCTCAGGACTTGGGTGGGCAGGGACCTGAGGTATTGATCTTGAAGTGTTCAGGTTATGTGGGAAAGGTGTCTGCAGTGGGTGTGTGCCTGACGTGGGGCACCCCACGGGGTATTGCATGGTAGGTGTGTGCCTGATGCAGGGTGGCAGACACCCCAAGGGGCATCACATGGTGGGTATGTGCTTGATGCAGGATACCCCATGGGGCACAGCATGGCAGGTGTGTGCCTGATGTAGGATGTTGGACACTGCAGGGGGAATTGCATAGTGGATGTGTGCCTGACATGGAGTCTGCACACCCACAGGGTCTTGGACAGCTGTGGTAGGGAGGCCACGTGAGCAGACCTCAGGGTTTTGTTCCTGTGAGTTGTCACTGGGGAGTCAGCCTGAGGTGGGAGCCACTCCATGGACAGCTTTGTTGATGTGGACAAGCAGACAGACAGTGGGAGCATGGGGATACGGTGTCCCAGAACCAAGCATCCACCATGGCAGTTAGATGGAAGGGCTTTTCCAGATCATGGCCCTAAAGCAAAGGCATCTGACATGTCTTTCTTCAACCTTTCAAAAGTTCCTCTTCTTTCAGCAAGTCACGAAGGGGGTTCAAAATCAGGTTTCCTAGTCCGATAGGAGCTGGTCGTTTCTGGGAATTCCCTTGATTGTGTTCTGGGTGTGGATTGGAATCAGAGTACAGAAAGCCAGTTTATGGTCTTGGGGTTGACTCGGCTGTCTTTGGGATATTATAAATCCTAGATAATTCAATTAGAGATGTGTGGCTTTTGCCACACATTTTTCCTTCTCTGTCAGATAACTCAAGAGGTTTTTATAAAATTATTTTAAATAATTGTATTGTTTTCATGCTGGTTATACAATACCATGTCAACTAATTCCATTACGTTATAAATTGTTACTGATGTAATGTCGGGGCTTTTAATTGATTGGGATGATACTCTGTCGGCTCTACCTTCAGACCAGAGACGGTCTTCCCATGAAACTGTTGAACTTATCTGGACAATAAGATGCTGGATTCTATGCTTTGTAGATGCTTGCAAGGAAAGAATCTTAACTGAATTTGACCTGTGGTAATGCAACAAGATGGAAGAATCCACCATGGCGGGGGGGGGGGTTGGGGAGGGGAGGGGGAATCCCAGTGCCTATAAAACTGTGTCGCATGATGCAATGTAATCAATTAAAAAAAAAAAAAGAAAGAAACCCTGATGTGGAGAAGCATAAAAAAAATAAATAATTGTATTGTTTTCTAATTTTGTTACTTTTATTTCCCATAGCAATGTTGAAAACAAATACAAATACAAGGAAGTACTCAGTTTAACATTTTATGCATGAGCATGTTACACCATTTGGAGTGGGAGGGCAGTTTTGACAACAGGAACAAATCTAAGCAATGAACAACAGAGAAGCCAGATAAGTTTTGATCCCCCACCCCCACTTAAGAGAGATCATTCAAGGGACACCTGGATCTGCTTAAAGCAATAAAGACCCTTTACCACTGGTGTTCTATGCTGCAAAACTGAAGATGAAACCATTTACCACACAGCCCACTGACATCCAAATTGCAATTTTAGATACTCGCTAAAAAGTTTGCAGCTTAAAAAAAATAAACTTCAAGTTATTCCATCATGTGGATAATTTAAGAGTTTAAAATTTTTTATTTAGATGTATTTTATTTGAAAGGCAGAGTGACAAAGAGACAGAGACAGGGGGTGGAGAGAAAGAGGGAGAGAGACTCTTCACCATCAGCTTACTCTACGATGGTTGCAATGTCCAAGGCTTGGCCAGGTTGAAATCAGGAGCCAGGAACTCCATCCAGGTTTCCCACGGGGGTGCAGGGGCCCAGGTACTTGGGGCATCTTCCAACGCTTTCCCCAAATGGCTCAGCCAGAAGTGGAGCAGCCAGGGGATTCCAAATGGATGCGAGCATCACAAGTAATGGCTTAACTGGCTATGTTGTAACACCAGCCACCAGCCAGGGTTTTGATGTTGTGGTTAATAAAAGCCTTCGGGGCCTGGCATGATGGCTCAATGATTAAATTCCATATGGGCACCAGTTCAAGTCCTGGCTGCTCTACTCCCCATCCAGCTCCCTGTGGCCTGTGGCCTGGGAAAGCAGTTGAGGATGGCCCAAAGCCTTGGGAACCTGCACCTGCATGGGAGACCCAGAAGAAGCTCCTGGCTCCTGGCTTCGGATGGGCTCAGCTCCAGCCATTTGAGGAGTAAATCAGCAGATAGAAGATACTTTTCTATCTCTCCTTTTCTCTATAAATCTGAACTGTCTTTCCAATAAAAATAAATAAATATTTTCTTATTTAAAGAAGTCTTCTCTGAAATGAAAGTAAAAAGAGTATTATCCACTCAAACCTCTACTGAAAATCTCCCTCAAAATGGAAGGGGTGGTTTAAATAAATCCTTGGGATAAAACAGTCCAATAATATTGCACTTCCTGGTGAGACTGTGGCAGAAACCACCTTCTGGGTCTAAATGTAATGTTGGCTATCTCCTGGCAAACTGGGTAGAGGTTGGGTAGTATAGGATAAATCATTTGCTTCCTTGTGGCTCTCAAGTGCTACACAGACCTATAGTTACCCTACCTGGCGCTCTTAACAGGTCCCACAGGGGTTACCAGGAGAGCCACAGGACCTGGTTCGTCTCTGACCAAGGAGTCGACTTCAAGTTGCTGAAACCACACCTGTTGCTGGGGAACTCAGGGCACCTTGCCCGACCCTGACCAGTGGTCAGTCTGCCTTCGTACTGCTGTCACAGTTCAAGTACTGAGCATCCGTCTCACCTGGCCCTGGGTTAGCCCCAGCTAAAGCAATTTCTGCAGCAATTTTGGGATCCTTCAAGAAAATTCTGCCCCCTGGCTTCTGGGGACTCATGCTGCTACATGGTCGTGTCTTGAATATATGGCAATACCAATTTAGTTGGTATGTCTCTGGCCACGAGTGGGAGGGAACACTCAGGGACACATAGAACCCAGGAGGAGTTGTAGAAATCTCTTCTTATCTCCTTTCCTGGAGATTCCCTCTGCAACAGCCCCTTTCAGCAGTTAACACAGAGAATGTGGGTTCAAGCATCTGGCAAAAATGCACCCTGGGTTGGCGTGAGTTAAACCATTGTCTGCAGCCTTGGTTTCTCATCTGAATGCCGGTTCTAGTCCTGGCTCCTCCACTTCCAATCCAGCTTTTTATTAATATGCCTGGGTAAGCAGCAGCAGATGGCCCATGTGCTTGGGCCTCTGCACTCACATGGAAGACCTAGTAAAAGCTGCTGGCTTCAGCCTGGCCTAGTCCTGGCTATTGTAGTCATTTAGCAAGTGAACCAGCACATAGAAGATGACTCTCTCTGTATCTCCTTCTCTCTTCCTGTAACTCTGCCAAATAAGTAAGGTAACTATTTTTAACAAGCAAAAACATCTCACCCTCTCCAAGTGCAGTGTGGCCGGCCAGGCAAGCAGGGCAGGAAGGTCTTCCAAGAATCAAGCTCCGAGGAATAAACTGGCTCCAATTCTCTGTGCCTGTTCTCATGCCCTTCTCTTGCGGCAATTCAGCTACCTCCTGTACTCTAGCCTCTCGGCTGAGTCCATTCCTAATTCTCCCAGCCAAACTGGCTGCCTCCTCTGCTCCCCATACACACCCCTTGTCTCATGTTGGGTGTCTGCAAGGTAGGCCAGGAGGCAAGGATTGAAGGAACAGTGGGTAAACATTTGATCAAAAAGTGTTTTCAGGCAGATTAACTGGAAACTGGACTGTGGTGTGTGTGTGTGTGTGTGTTTGTGTGTGAAGCCAAGTCCCCAGTTCAGAGAACAAGTGGCTGCCCCCGCCCTTCCCTTCCCGAAATCAGGCTGGATCTAGGGTCCAGCCCCTCTAGCCAGGAGTTTTCTCCTCCCTAGAACCCCAGAGGCTCTGTGGTTTGGCAGCAGCAGGGTGCAAGCACTTACTGTTGGAAATGCATTCGCCTTGTAGGGTCCCTGCTCTAACTGTTGCACCTGTCATCTTGTATTACTATTGGTCTCCAAGGACACACACTTGCTACAGGTGAATGAGAGAGTGATAGGAAAACAACAGGCGAAGACTCTACCTATTTTCCTCTCCAAAAACTGGCACTTCCAGGGGCAAGTGGTCTCCCTGCGAACCATGCAGGAGAGTGAGTAGCACAGAAGGGATCCTCCCACACTGCACCCTAGCCCCCCAAATGATCCCTGACTCAGCTGCACCACAACTTCTTCTTTCGTGACCACAAAGGATTTCGAGGAAGCCCAGAGGGGGCTGGGATCTCTCTGGAAGTCACCTCCCAGTGGCTCCTATAAAGGGTGCAGGCAGGGAGGAGTGGCTGGCCTCTACTCCCCAGGCCTTCTCCCCTCTGCACCCAGGCTTGGATTTCTGAGCTCTCTGCTGTGCTCCAGAACATGGCAGGTCCCGCAACCATTGCAGCCAGCCTCCTGCTGCTGGCCTTTGCAGCTGGACACATCTGCCGTACAGGTGAGATCTCCAGCCCAGCCTGGGGCTCTTGGGCAAGGTGCTGTTCCCAGCGCATGGTGAGCTAGTAAGAAATCCACCAGCCCGGGCAGGAGATGAGTCCTGAGAGGAGACCTGGGGGTGTTTGGGGACTAGGCAGGGGCTTAGGATCCTGAAGCTGGGAAAGCACATGGGTTTTCTATCTTTTAGGCTCTGTGGTCATTCCTGTTTCCTGTTGCATGTCGTTCGCCACCACGAAAATCCCTCGGAGCCGAGTGGTAGGCTACCAGTTATCCAATGGTAGCATGTGCCCCAGAGCAGGGGTGATGTAAGTACTTGTCCTGGGTAAGCAGAGGGGCAGGAAAAGGAGGGGGTACTTCCAGGGTCCCTGAAGGATAATGGTTGGCAGGACTCAGCTCCATGTATACCTGGGTATGTCATCTGACTTTTCTGGGCCTCAGCTTCCTCACTGGCAAAGCCAGCAAGAACCCTTTGCTAAGCTCCCAATATCTGTGGGGCACCCCAGAGTGTTTTAATTAATCCTTCCAGCAAGGCTAAGAAGTAGGCAAGATGATTCCCATTGCACAGAGGTGGTAACTGAGACCCTGAGAAGTGACTTGCATGAGGTTCCCCAGGGATCCAGCTCTCTACAAAGCCAGATCAACTTCACATCTGTCTCCCTCTCGCACCAGGGAGCAGGTGCAAAGTCGCTTTGTGATAGCTGACATGTGGTGTGATGGCAGTGGGTTCCAGACTCAGTTCCATAGGCTGGCATGCCCCTCACCTCCCATCCCAATATTGTGGCATCCTCTGGGACCAGGCATCTATGCCCAGTGGCCGCACCTGCCTTTGCCTCTCACTGAGGCAAAGAGGGGGTCTGCAGCATTTGCCACATCCTCCCAACCCTCTGGGTAGATGTTGTGTCTCTCCCTTCAAGACCCAGAGTTATTCAAAGGCCGATTTGGGATTCCACCCTCTGATGGAGAAGTTTCTGACCTTTGTAGCGAGTTCTGCACCCTCCACATCAGCCCTGTTCTCCCTCCCGGCAGACACAGAGTGCCAGCAGCTGGCTAGAGTGGGGCTGGGCCCATAGCAGAGCCTCTGCGCATGTCCATACCCATCTCCTCATACAGTGGAGCCCTGTCATTCATTCTCTCCCACAGCTTCCTCACCAAGAAGGGCCTCAAACTCTGTGGCGACCCCAGGCAGCCGTGGGTGCAGAGTTACATCAAGAATCTGGACGCCAAGCGCAAGAAGTCCTCCAAAAGGGCCAGGATGAAGGACCTCAGAGTTCCTGGGCAGACACCTGCTGGAGGCAGCCCCACCATTTAATCCCTGTCCTCAGGTGGGAAGGGGGATGCAGAGAGCTACCTTTCCTGTTTCTTTAGCATCTCCCTTCCTGGGAGATTCTAGCTTTCACTTACCCCAGAGCCGGGAGAGAAGGTTCCAGAAGGAGGGGCAGCATTGTGCCCTTCTCTGTCCTGCAGGCTCCATCAGAACATGGATGCATTCTCTGCCCCCTACCTGCCAAACACCTGCACAGACCTTGCTGGGACTGCAGGGGGCCTGTGGCCTTGTGGTGGGAGCTTCTGTGGTGTCAGCTCTGTGACACTTGGGGGGGTACACTGCTGCCTTTCTCACCAGATCCTACCCCCACCCCCAGTCCCTAGACACCAGTTCGAGGCTGGAATGCACAATATTCCAGGACCCCATTGACTTGCCCAAGGAAATGGAAGTGGAGGATGGGGGTGCGGGCCCAGTGGCATGGGTTTGTTGCTTTGTGACATCATTGAGATGTCCCCCTTAATGACATTGCTTTGGGGACACAGATCCTGCTCTAGTTGCCAGACTGGGCTTTTCCTACAGGTTGGAAAGGGAAAGAGAGTGGGAGCCAATGGGGGAAAAAGACCTATTGCTGTTTTTGTTTTGTTTTGTTTTGTTTTGTTTTGTTTTTCCTATATACAAGCTACTGTGTGATTTGCCAAAAGTGGTGTATACTGTCAAATCCATTGTCAAGTGAAAATCCAAATACAATGTGATTTTTCCTTGGATGATGGTTGTGTCTGCCTATTCTTGTCTCCTTGGGGAGAGCAGGGTAGGAGAGATGAGCAGGGTGTGGAGCATGCTCTGGAGAGCACCCCGGGCACCCAGCGTGGATGGAGTTTGTCCCTGCTGCCCCCCACAAAAAAGGCTCAAGTACTAGAAGCAGAGCTCCTGGTGTCATGGCATTGGCAGGTGATGGCTGGGGAGGGGGCAATGGGAGGAGACAGGCCACTGAGGACTCCTGTCTGGAGGGTCTAGGTGGATGACAAAGTGAGTTCAGTGTTCTCAGCACCCTCTCTGGGCAGGTGCTCACAACCCTGGCCTAAGCAACTCTTTATGCCCCAAGTCTGACGCTAGGTAGCAGGTGATGGCTCAAATACTTGGTTCCCTGATGGTCATGTGGGAGACCCCGCTGAGTCCTGGTTTCTGGCCTCGCCCTGGCTCTGGCCCAGCCCCAGCCCCAGCTGTTGCAGGCATCTGGGATGTGAACCAAATGGAAGATATGCTCTCCCTTTCTCTCACCCCAATTTAGTCTTAGGCATTCTGTTATAGCAACAGCCAACATATTGAAATATCTGTGGGAGGCTTTCTCTTATAGACATGACCAATTAATAATCCAATCTTGAGTCCTCTCCTTTTTTTTTTTCTAAGATTTCCTTGTTTTTATTAGTAAGGCAGAATTTTACAGAGAGAAGGAGAGACAAAGGGGAAGATCTCTCATCTGCTGATTCACTCCCCAAGTGACCACAATGGTCAGAGCTGAGCTGATCTGAAGCCAGGAGCTTCTTCTAGGTGGGCCCCCATGTGGGTGCAGGGTTCCAAGGCTTTGGGCTGTCCTCGACTGCTTTCCCAGGCAGGGAGTTGGATGGGAAGTATGGGCACCAGGGGATCCCAGCGCATGAAAGGTGAGGACTTTAGCTGCTAGGCTACTACAACCCCTTCCCTCCCCCACCTCAAGATTTATTTATTTATCTTGGAAAGGCAGATTCAGAGAAAGAAGGAGATACATAGAGAAAGATCTTCCATCTTCTGGTTCACTCCCCAAGGAGCCGCTATGGCTGGAGCTGAGTCAGTCAGAATCCAGGAGCTTCTTCTGGGTCTCCCACATGGGTGTAGGGTTCCAAGGCCTTGAGCCACCCTCTGCTACTTTCCCAGGCCACAGGTAGGGAGCTGGATGGGAAGTGGAGCATCCAGGACACAAACTGGTACCCATGTGAGATCCTAGTGCACGCAAGGACTTTAGCTACTAGGCTACAACACTGGGGCCCGAACAATCACCTCATAAAGGCCCCGGTACCTCCCAAGTCACACTGAGGACCAGGCTGCCAAAATACACTTTTTGTTGTTGTTGTTGTTGTTGAGGGCACACTGTATTCACACAGTAGCACCCATACTCTTTCACCAGCTACCTTGTGAAGAGGAGACAGAGTGGGTGCTGGGAGTTGGGAGGAACTGAGCTCAGCCTGTGACCAAGTTAGGTCCAAGTTGACCAGTGTTAGGGACAGACCAGCCATCTGATTCAGAAAGGCAGAGTTCAAAGTTCATAAGCAAGCGGCTGGTATATCCAATATGCCCACAGACGTGTGGGTGGGGGGAGGAAAGGAAGGAAGGTTCATGTGCCACACAGTGGAAGAAGAGATGAGGGAGGCACGCAAAACAGCAGTCCTGCAGCTTGCTGTGGACACACACATCACCGGGCCCCACCTCAGACCTCACGCCTGGGCTCTCCCAGGATGGAGCCTGGGAATATGCATTCTTTGCAAGCTGTTCAGGTGACAGAGATGCCCAGCCGGGGCCCACAGATCTGATGTACCTTCCCAGGACCTGAGTGACTATGGGCTCCAAGCAGCTGGGGGAGTCCACCCTGCGAAGGGCTACGCTGGGTCACGTGTTTGACTCTGGACCCCTCTCCTGGGGCTGGGCAGCTGCTGAACGCCACTGTATTCTGAGACTCCTCAAAGGGGCAGGTGCTGCTGGAAGACACAGGCGCTTGGCCAAGCCTCCACCTCCACCCTTCCCCATGCTCGTGGCCTCATCCTCCTCCTGTTTTCTGTCTCTTTTGGGGGAACACATGCTGCCTGGCTGGAAAAGAATTTTGGCTGAAAGTTCTCTCCTGACCTGGGTTTCAACCCTGGCGTTTATTGATTCCGAAGAAGTTGGTGCCCTGGTTTCATCAACATTGCCAAGGGCAGTTCGCCGGCTTCCTGGAATCGCAGGCTGGAATGGCTCCAGGGAGCTCCTGCAAAACTCCCAAAGCTTCCCCGTTCACCTCAGGGCTGTATGCCCTGGTTCCCCCAGCTGTTCTGCACAACACACAGGCAAGCCTTAGGGGACACTACTCTGCAACTGACCACCCCTGGGCAGGGCAGACTTCCACCCTGCCAATGCCTAGCTCCAGGCAGCACAGTGAGAGGACCCCAGGCTCTCACTCCTCTGCCCAACCCCGTGCCCCCACCCAAAATCCCAGCACAGCTTACTTCTTCTGCCTCACCTGACTCAGATGTACAAACATGTTTTGAGTCAGCATTCCCAGGAAACCTTGTCATGAGCTTCCGGTTGGCTGCCTGGGGACCTTTCTCCAGGAATGGGAAGAGCTGCCTATCTTGGGAGTGGGAGGCAGGGAACTGGCAGCACTCAGAGGAGTACTGGAAGCTGTGGCCCTGATGGTGGCTCCCTTTCTGAATGGGCACACGAATATTGCTCAAGGAAGAGCGCCTGGCTGGCTGTCCACACTTGCCTCCATCTGGCCACCCACATGTGCCTCAGTCTACCCACCCACCCCTGCTCAGACTGGCCCTTGCTCAGCCTATATTGCTGTGGCTCCTCCTGGCTCTCTGCTGTGCAAAGGTCTCACCCAGGGACAGTAGGAGGGAGTTCACTGGACATGTCTGGCACTTGGCGAGGCCTCCACAAGCAACTGTGAGATGAAGGAATGCACACACCATGCACACGGGGTGCCCTCACCTGCTTTGCCTCCTTGGAAGTGGGGTCCGCATCCCTGGGGCCATGGCAGCACTGGCCCAGTGCCAGAGAGCTGGCTGGGTGGGAGTCTGGGAGCTGGGGCCAAGCGCGGGGGGCCCTGCGAGGGTGGTGACTTGGCTCTCCCAGCCTTTCCAGGCTGGGGGAGCTGCAAGAAGACAGCAGCCTCTCGCCGGGAGAGTGATGGGGGCTGAAGGAGGCACTGCCATTGAACAGAGGCCTCAGCAGAGGAGGGACCCCATGGCTAAGGGTGGGGTAAGGCAGCAGCAAGAGGACTGGTGGGGGCTGACATGTGAGAGCCAGCACTTTTCCTGGAAATGAGCAGCATTCTGAATTCCAAGGAGTGGGGAGGAGGGAGAGAAAGTGAGAAGTCAGTTCCTTAACCACAGGGTTGCTGTTTCCTTTACTTTGCCATTTCCTTCCTTTTCCAGGCCCCCTAAAATGGGGCAGCCATGGGTTGCTTCACAACAAACACGTGGCCTGAGAACTGCACTTCAGCAATTTTGTTGTGGTGCAGGCACCATGGAGTGTCCCTATACAGATCGGGTCAGCAGTGGAGGTGGGGGAGATCCCCATGGAGTATCTCTATGGGGGGACAATCCCTTCTGCCAGCTCTCACTGCAGTTGAGGGATGCGGCAAACCCAGGACTTCTGAGGCTATGGCAGGTGTCTAGCAGCATTCTGCTGGATGGCAAGCACTTTTATCCTTTTAGTAAGTGGGAGTGTATTCTCCTAAAGCCATAAGAAGTACCATAGGAAATATATAAGTCAGTTGGCAGAATCATTTAGTATAACCAGCAGCCATTATGTACCCTACATACTTGTATGTTCTACACTTTAAAAAAAAAAAGATTGCTTTGTTTTTATTGGAAAGGCAGATCAGATTTAGAGAGAGAGAGAAAGATCTTTATCTGCTCTTTCACTCCCCAAGTGGCTGCAATGGTCAGAGCTGAGCTGATCCGAAGTCAGGAGCCAAGTACCTTCTTCTGGATCTCCCACGTATTGCATGGTCCCAAGGCTTTGGGCCATCCTCCACAGCTTTCCCAGGGCACAAGCAGAAAGCTGAATGGGAAGTAGAGCAGCCAGGACATGAACAGGCACCCCTATGGGATCCCAGCACTTGCGAGGTGAGAATTTAGCTATTATGCCTTGCATCAGGCCCATGTTTCCACACATTATAAGATGTATTTGAGAGATGGAGAGAGTGCTTGCTTCGGAAGCATATATACTAAAATTGGAACGAGAGATGGAGAGAGAGAAAGAGATCTTCTATCCTCTGGTGCATTCCCCCAAATGCCCACAATAGCCAGGGCTGGGTCAGACCAAAGCTAGGAGCCAACAAACTCAATCCAAGTCTCCCACGTGGGTAACAGGGAGCCAAGCACTTGGGCCATCTTCTGCTGCTTTCCCCAGGCATGTTAGCAGGGAGCTGGATTGGAAATGAAACAGCCAGGATTTGAACTGGTGACCACATTAGATGCTGGCATTGCAGGTGGTAACTTAACCCACTGTGCCTCAAGGCTGGCTCTGGTGACAGGGTTGGCTCTGGTTGGTCACATGCTAAGGTTGTTTATGCTGGCATGACACATGTGAGTGATGCATTATATTACAACATTAC